AACTATTTCCATAAAAAAATCTTATTTATATAATTAAGTGGAATATCTTTCAGATTGAGTCTTATATTATGCTTTTAATTATAGTAACACCTCTTACTGCGAATCAATTCAATCTCACTTATTAATTGAACCCCTGTGGCACTGCAGCCTATGTGAAACCTAATCTGTAACCATGTTCTACGATTTTTTCTATTATTACGATTGAAATCTTAAAAAATCTTCTGAGAATTAGACAGAGTGTATTTGAGAGTGTTAGAGTAGTCATGAATAGAAGTTTTTGGAACCGTCCATGGCCCTATGGGCTAGGTTACTGTACAAATTGAAAATAAATAAAAAAATATTTATTATCAACTGGTTTATGAACAATTCATTTTAGACAATTCACAAAAACAGAGATAGGATGTTTTTAAATATGTCGAAAACCTTTTTTAGTACAGCTAGAATTGCTCTGCCCTTTGGTTTTATCCCAGTTAATTCTTCCATATTTTGTTTCCTTTTATATTTTCATTCGAAAAAATCCTTTACTTTGAATATTTCTCTAATAAACAGAATTATCAATTTTAATATCTCCAATACTCGATAACATTCCTTAACTACTCGATCATTCTAATAAGATTACCTATTTTTTCAGATGCCATTCAGATCGTACATTATCCGCATCCGAACTTTTGGAACATCCATTTCTCCGTTGCTCTCTGTTCACAAATGAGGATAAAGAAAATCAACATCTAACCATGGCGCTGACCACATACAAAACCAATGGCGGTGGTGGCAAACCATCTTTAGCGGTAGCTCCACTAAATTTAAAGCAACGTAACAATGTAACAGCACAACCAACCACACCACAAGCGTTAGCACCATTTTCCATACCATCTTTACCCACCTCACAGTCTCGGCTACGGACGGAATTTGAAGTTCTTATGTATCTGGGCAAGGGAGCTTTTGGAGATGTTCTCAAAGTGCGAAATATACTTGATAATCGTGAATATGCCATAAAACGTATACCGCTACCGGCACGTAGCAAACAGCTATACAAGAAAATGACGAGGGAAGTGGAATTGTTGTCACGACTAAATCATGAAAATGTAGTGCGATACTTCAACAGTTGGATAGAAAGTGTCAATGAGGAAGATGTCGAAGAAATGGATAAATTGGTGTCCGGCGATTGGTCCATGAGCGTGGAAAGTATTAAACCCCCGAAATCACCGCAAGTCACTAATGCTACCACAGAGACTGAAACGGATTCATCAAGCCTCTGGAATGGTTATATACCACATATGGATGATTCCGATTCGGATGGAATTGAATTTGTTGATTCGAATGGCGAAGCGGCAGTATATGATGATGAAGATGATGACGATGTGGATGAAGTTGATTCGGAAATATCGAAGGTACTATCGCCAAAACCCATTATGCAAATCATGTACATACAAATGGAATTTTGTGAAAAATGTACCCTTCGAACGGCCATCGATGATAATTTATATTCAAATACTGATCGTCTGTGGCGTCTATTTCGCGAAATTGCCGAAGGCCTGTCACACATTCATCAACAGGGTATTATACATCGAGATTTGAAACCTGTAAACATTTTCTTGGATTCTCACGATCAAATTAAGATTGGTGATTTTGGTCTGGCCACTACAAGTTTCTTGGCATTACAGTCGCATCAAGAGCAAAACACACAACAAAATCATGCTTCTCAAATAACGTCCATGGAAGATGGTACCGGAACAGGCAAAGTGGGTACCACCTTGTATGTTGCCCCTGAATTGACGGGCAATGCTTCTAAATCAACCTACAGCCAAAAGGTTGATATGTATACGTTGGGTATCATCCTATTCGAAATGTGCCATTCTCCATTTGCCACAGGCATGGAGCGAGCTGAAACTATTATAAAACTACGGAGTCCCAATATTGTTATACCAGATTATATGCTAACAAATCTCAAAAATGAAAAGACTGTAAAGGTATGATTTCAAAATCTACAACCTACGGAATAAAATCTAATAAAGGTCTTTTAATTTCAGCTCCTGCGTTGGCTTTTAAATCATGATCCCTCACAAAGACCCACGGCTGAAGAATTATTGGTATCTGATCTACTGCCACCGGCCCAGCTAGAGGCCAGTGAATTGCAAGAAATGCTGAAAAATGCTCTGGCCAATCCACAAAGTAAAGCCTACAAACATATAGTAGCACGTTGCCTGCAACAAGAAAGCGATGAGGTTTTGGAACACACCTACCACATGGGTGGTAGTCGCGCTATGAAATCCTGGAATACTCCAGTTGTTCTTGAAAGCCTGGTAACTCTGAGTCCATTGATTGAATTTGTCAAGGGCAAGGTGGTTTCACTGTTTCGTAAACATGGCGCCATTGAAGTTGATACACCGCTAATGTCTCCTTTAACTAAACACACCAATCATTGGGTAAATCCGGTAAAACTTATGACACACTCTGGTTGTGTGGTAGTTTTACCAAGTGATTTACGCACTGAATTCGCCCGTCACATCGCCATGAGTGGGGTGAATATGATACGACGTTATTGTGTGGATCGTGTATATCGTGAGGAAAAAGTGTTCAACTTCCATCCGAAACAAAACTACGAATGTGCTTTCGATATCATTTCACCCCATTCCGCAAGCCATTTAGTTGATGCCGAGCTTTTATCCTTGGCCTTCGAAATAGCTTCGGAAATCCCAAATCCAAGGGAAAAGAATGTGATGATACGCATGAATCACACCAATCTTTTGCGAGCCATACTCCTATACTGTAATGTACCGAAGGAAATGTATGGAGATCTTTTTGCTAGCATATTGGATTACATTGAAGGACGTATATCGAAATTTCAGTTTCATTCGATTGTGAATAGCATTATGGAAAAATCCCGAACATCGGGTTCGGCTCTAATTGATTTATTGCTGGCAAATTTCCAAATGAGTGGTAAAAATAGTGCCGATGATTCGTCGCTAAGATCTTTGGTAAAAGGTAAAGGAGAGGCAGCTTCTCTTGCAAAGGGTGCGCTAAGAGAAATGGAGTCGATTGTTTTGTTAGCTCAAAGCCTGGGTGTAAAATGTCCGATACACATTTTTGCTGGTTTACCCATTAACTATGAACGAGCAGCTGCGGGTGGCCTAATATGGCAAATGATTGCCGATGTTAAGCCAAATCGTTCATCCCGCCCATCTGTACTGGCTGTGGGAGAACGTTACGACAGTATGTTAATGGATTTCCAAAAACAAGCCCAAGGTTTCAATCCAAATTTACCGAATCGTTGTATAAGTGGTGCAGGCCTTTCTTTCTCCTTGGATAAACTTGTGGCTGCCATGGGCTCGGAAGATTCCCAAAAATGTCGAACTATAGATGTGGGTGTATGTGTCTCGGGATCGAGGCCTCCCCTTAAAGATGTTACATACATTATGCGTCTGCTGTGGTCAGCTGGTATACGATGCAGTTTTATCGAATCGGTAACATGTAGCGGTGATGAATCTCAAGATTTAGCCAAGCTGGGGGCTAGCCATGTTATATTGGTTGCCGAAAATGGGGCTTTGCGTATTCGGTCGTGGGAAAGGGAACGTTTCCAAGAACGTCATGTTACCCGTTCAGAATTGGCAGATTTTATACAAAAATTATCGGTGCGCCAAGAAAATAATTACAACGCCTCCAGCGAATATTCAGTTCAACAGACAAATACAAATTATGGTGGTTTTGGCGGTGGAGGTGGCAGTGGCAGCTATGGCAGTCGTGGTGATAATGCCCTTAGTACCTCGGCGTCGGGTACAAATGTTAAGAATATCATAAGTTCAAGCAGTCTCAGTAATTTACCGAATATACAGGTTATATTTTCTTTGACACAAGATAAACTGTCGGCAAACTATCGTAGACGTTTGGAGAATCAGGTGAGTGATGGAAATTGTTGTTGTTAAATTTAAAAGAAATATTTAAAGATTTTGTTTTATGTTTTGTAGGTAACACAACAAATGTCTTCAACTCTGGCACAATTTGCTAAAACAGAAAACATTGCCGTATTGGTTGTTGAGTTATCACCATGTACATTAAATGGCATTGTAGCAGCTATTAATCCACGAGCTGTAGATCGCAAAGAGACTGAACAAGAAATTAATAGCGTAATTGATAGGTGAGTTATCAAAGGTCGATTGCATTTTACGTCTAAAACTATGTACCAAAAGTTGCTGAGCTCTATTTTGTTTAGGTTAAGCTTATCCTTTTCCTGACATTCTTAGTTTCAATTGAAAGAACTCCAAGCTCATCGGTCGAAAATGGGATTTTCAATGTAGATCCTCGCTTTACATAAGCAGATGTTTTTCGCACCAAATTTTCAGTGTTTGACTAGAGCTTGAATTCAAACAAATATTCAAACTGCATCCTTAAAACTTTCCTATACAATTACAATGAATGATTTTTTTTATTTCAGGTTCCCAAAAAATCGTCGATACATTTCAGATATATGTGAAGAAATTGTAGATTACATTACCGATTCGAAAATAACCATAGTTGCCTTATATAGTATAACTGATTCATACTATCGCGTTATAATATGAATAGAAAAGAAGAGTGTCGAATACAACACATCAACTATTGAGAAGTGTCATAATCATTCAATTAGATATTGACATGGCAACTACTTAAAATACATGATCTGAGATGCTCGAAATATGGTTATCCTTACCTAAAATATCCTATTGACGAAACGGTCCTTTCTGAAAGTTTCACATCGATTTTTTTACATTTTACAAAAGGAAAAATCAACAAGAAACAATACCCACAAAATCAACTGGTAATATGGCTGTAACTGCAAAAAATGTAAATTGTCTCCACCTCCTAACAATAATAAAAAAATACATTTTTAAATTCTATTCTTAAAATAATCATATCTTCCAATGTTAAAAATACCATAATTTATAATCTCTATATAGAATTTTGTATAAAAAATGTTTAACTATTCCTTAGCTATTTGAGTTTGAGAAATAACAATTGTTGAATTACATGTGAAATTATTTTTCATTTATTTTCATAATTTCAAAATATTGAAAAGTTTCATTTTCGCATTTGCATTTCCAAGACTTGCAAAACTTTTTATTTTCATTTTTTTTCTTTAAGATTTTTATACATTTCTAAAGATAACAAATGTAAAACATTCATTTTTTTATCGAACAAAATCATAAAAAATAAAACAACTATTTAAAATTACTTAGAATAACAAATATTATTTATACCTATTTAGTTTTTGGTAAACAAAGACTACTATGATCATGAGGATGTAGATGGCGAGTTTTCATTTTGTACATCGTTGGCATTGGATTTGTTAAGGCTACGTATAATGCTGGTAGTGGGTTGTAGAACTTTACGTGAGAGACGCATAAAACCTGAGACAGGATCACGGCCAAAGTATTTCACTTGAATTTCTTGGCCAACTTCAAGGCCTAAGGCAGAGGGATGGGCAACCTGCAAGAAAAAGGCAAAGGAATGAATGTAACAGTAACTGAAATGGCCTCACGCATTACTTACCTTTCTTTGATCTAATTGTGAATTATGCAGTAAAGCTGGAGGCATGTTATTATATAATATGACCATAACTCCAGTATCACGTATTTCGGTAATTTTTGCCGTATAAATGCCACCAAATTCTAAATCAGGTATTCTTTCCTTCGGCACTAAGAATGTGTCAATCATTTCCTTGGCTTCATGCATTGCCGACTGGGATGGTGCAAACAGAGTAAATGTTGTCTCATCTTCAGTCGTTGCTGTACAACCGGTTTCAACATAAAGCTTTTTCAAATTTATGCCACCTGGTCCAATTAACTGGGCCCGTTGTTGCGGTTCCACGGTAATGCGCTCCGTAACTGGCCAACAATCTTTTTTCACTTTTCTTGGTTCGCGTATTGCCTCCCCCATTATGTCCAATATTTTTGCTTTGGCATCGGTGGCTTTTTGTAGTGCTTCCATAACAACTTTTAATGGAATGCCTGGTATTTTCAAATCAGCTTGTATTGCAGTGAAACCTTTACGAGTACCCGCAACTTTCATATCCATATCACCTAGATAGTCTTCTATGCCCAAAATATCAGTTAAAATACGATAGTCTTGTAAGTGTTTGGTGTCATTATTTTCATATTTTGTGACAAGACCAATGGCAACACCGGCCGCAGGTGATGAAACGGGTACACCGGCGTCCAATAATGCCATAGAGCCACCACAAACAGTTGCCATAGAACTGGAACCGTTCGATTCGAGCACTTCTGATGTCAGTCTTACAGTAAAGGGAAAATCATTTGGCAGTGTAGGTACTAAGGCTTTTTCCGCTAAGGCTCCGTGTCCCAATTCCCTTCGGCCAACACCACCAACGCGGCCCACTTCACCGGTGGCATATGGAGGGAATTCATAGTGTAACATAAAGTTTTTGGCTTTTACTCCACTGTAAAATAAAAAAGCAATTGGTAAATAAAATGAAAATTCAGTAAATTATACAAAAAGAAAATAACATACGCAAATATCGTCGATTCCTAGATATATATTTTTTTAACCTATGGTCCTTAGCTTATACAAATATATATCTAGGAATCGACGATATTTGCGTATGTTATTCTCTTTTTGTATAATTTACTGAATTTTATACATAATAAATGAAATGTTATGACGATGTCAACGCTCAGATCAAATTGAACTTTTTACCTTTCCAAAGCTGATAAAGTATCCAGTTTCATGGCAGATTCTTGGGAATCTAAAGATACAGTACAGAACACTTGAGTTTGGCCTCGTTGAAATAGAGCCGAGCCATGTAAAGGTTTATACAAATCCACCTAAAAGATAAGTGATATATTTTTTAAATATTTAAATGAAATATTAAAAAGTTTCACTCACCTCACAGCTAATATTTCTTAAACTATCAAAATCACGACCATCACATCTGCGATCAGTTTCAAATATCAATTCTCTAAATATCGTTTTACAAAAACGATTAAACTCGTCAGTTATAAGGGCTGGTTCGGTATCGGGATAACTGGACCACACCTTGTCAATTACATTTGTGCGTACATCATTTACAGCCACATCACGGGATATTTTGTCATGACTAGCATCTTGGAAGATTTCACGTAAACGCATTTCACTCATGCTACGCACTGCAGCGGAAATTTCCTCACCAACTGTGGTGATTTGTTCCAATGGTCTCTTCTCTTTGCCATGAAGTTTTTGCAGACGTTCGATTTCTGAAACTATACTTTGAGCTTCTCGTGTTCCTTGCTTTATGGCCTTGAGGAGATCTTGTTGCAATACTACATTGCCCTTGCCCTCTAACATAACGACGAGATTTTGTTTGGTAGCTGATACCACTAAATCCAATTGGGAAGATTGAAGTTCACGGCGTGTGGGATTGACAATTATTTCACCATCACAAAGGCCTAATCTGCAAAAACAAAAAATATAAGCTAAATACGTTTAGGTTGTTAGAGATTATGTTTTACCTTACTGCTCCAATGGGACCATACCACGGTATGTCACTTAAACTTAAAGCCAATGAAGAGGCATTCAAAGCCAACACATCGGGCGAATATACAGCATCCATGGCCAACATATTACACACCAATTGGGTTTCTGTTCTATACTCGGCGGGGAACAGTGGTCTCACAGATCTGTCAATAAGACGAGCCGATAAAATTTCCTTTTCCGAAGGACCCATTTCACGGCGAAAGAAATTGGTGGGAATACGACCAGAGGCTGCTGTTTTCAGACGATAATCCACTACTAAAGGTGTGAAATTTGTGCCCGGTGTGGGTTTTTGCTTTGAGACAGCAGTTACCATAACAGCCGTATCACCCATTTCACACACGGCAGTTGCATTGGCGAATCGGGCATACCTGCCAGCTGTCATAATGAGATTTCGTCTGTAATAGAATACAAATTGAATTTCAAAGCAATAAACAAGATTTTTTGCCTGCATAACTACTCACCCATTTGAAAATTTCACCTCCAATTGTGGTCCTTCTGTGTTGGATGTATGTAAGAGGTTTCTTGGTGTGAAGGAATGATTACGCAGTCTAAAGTTGAGCAGTTTTAAGTAGTTTGTGGGATACTTCATTGTTAATTTAATTTACTAAATCGAGAATTGTTATAAAATAATCCAAAGCGGTCGAAGAAATTCCTCCGCACCTTCCTCAACACGACAACAGCTGATTTGTGGCACATGGAACGATTTTAATAATCTAACAGTGCCCTCTGGTGACAAGAAAATGCGAAATGCTGAGAATGTTAGTGTTGCCATACAACATTAAAAAGCGTTCGTATAACATAAAAACATGTCTACATATCCGATTTAATTCAAAAGTACTTTTTTTTACACTCCACCCATGGTAGAAGAATATAGGTCGATGCATCAACGCTTGGAAACATTGATATGTCACAATTTTCAAAAATAAGTAGATTTGTATATGTTTTTTTATACGACGCTAATCGGAGGTTGTTATGATATGCACTTTTCAACAAAGACAGTTCATTGTCCCAGCAGCTGTGTCGATGCGACTACCTGTATTCTTCTACCATGCCTCTACCGTATTTATGTCGATTTAGCGATGTCCGTCCGTCTGTGGAAATTACTTAGCTTCCGAACGAAATGAAGTAGGTTGATAAAATTTTACTCAAATTTGAATTATGTCTGCAGGACTTTTGGTATTGAAAATGGGTGATACCTCCATACAATGGTACCACCCTTTTTCGGTATTTTGCTGATTTAATCGACATTATTCGCCGGAATTGTTTCAAATTTGGTATTTGAAGTTCGTAATGGGTAGTACAGCCTATGACAGAAAATTGTCTGTGCAGGTCCACGTCTTCGTATAGCCCCCATATAGCGGTACCTTCACCGGAATTGTTTTAAATTTGGTATTTGAAGTTCGTAATGGGTAGTACAGCCTATGACAGAAAATTGTCTGTGCAGGTCCACGTCTTCGTATAGCCCCCATATAGCGGTACCTTCACCGGAATTGTTTTAAATTTGGTATTTGAAGTTCGTAATGGGTAGTACAGCCTATGACAGAAAATTGTCTGTGCAGGTCCACGTCTTCGTATAGCCCCAATATAGCGGTACCTCCCGATATTCGGTATTTTGACGATTTTAGCGACATTATTCCCCGGAATTGTTTCAAATTTGGTATTTGAAGTTCGTAATGGATACTACAGCTTAAGACAGAAAATTGTAAATGCAGGTCCACGTCTTCGTGTAGCCCCTATATAACCGTACCTCCCTTTATTCGGTATTTCGATGATTTTGATTATTCCACGGAATTGTTTCAAATTTCGTATTTGCAGTTCATAATGGGTACTATAGTCTGTGACAGAAAACTGCGTATGCACATCCACGTCTTCGTATAGCCCCCATATAATGGTACCTCCCTTTTTCGGTATTTTGTTGATTTTAGCGACATTATTCACCGGAATTGTTTCAAATTTGGTATTAGAAGTTCAAAATGGATACTACAGCCTAAGAAAGAAAATTGTCTGTGAAGGTCCACATCTTCGAATAGCCCCCATATAGCGGTACCCCCCGATATTCGGTATTTTGACGATTTTAGCGACATTACTCAACGGAATTGTTTGTTGCGTAACACCTGATACGGCGCTATGGTGGGGTTTCATCTAGCTCAGTCGGGGCACCAGTTTAGGGGTGAATTCCCAACTCTGCCACCATCAGCCCTAGGGGTCGAACAATCGAAAAGGAACAACATGAAATTTCAATAAACAAATCAAAATAAAACGACGAAACACATACGACCATAACACGGGAAATTGGCGTTAATAATTCCCACACTTACTCGCTCAACCTTGACTCTTAGATCCTCATCCAAGATTTCAATTCAATTTATAAGGGCCCCATTTTCCACATACACTTACCTCACTTCAACATCATCCTATTTTCCTCCCTAACAAAAAACACTAGCAATTCATATTAATCTAAGCACTTAGATATTAAAACAATTTATTGGTTTCATTATTTTCTTGTCAGAATTCTAAATTTCTAACACCTGACACATCGATAAGTCAATACCTCGGACTACCAACTTATCCTATTGAATTTCGGTCAACTCGGGCCGATTTTCTAAATTATTTCCTCACCCAAAAGAGCTCTCTTATGTGGTTCTAAGGGACATTAATATTCGATCCCACAATCAACTAATTTCTAATAGGATTTTCTGGGGTAACCCTACACTTGTCGCATTTTATCTGGCGTTAAAAACTTTTACAATCACAAAAAAAATCGTATATACTAATCACTAACTACAAACATATACATAAACTAACATATAAATATTTTAGCAGATTAATTCCTTTTTTATGAATTCGGCGTTATTTTTTTAGATTTTCTAATGTTTCATTTCTATTTCTTCCTTTTAGATGCTAATAAGCACTCAGGCTCTGGACATAAATATTGCAAACAAAAACGTTGCTCAAGGCTGGTAAGTAGATCTTTTTTCTTTTAAGTATTGTTACCTGGTCAGCATAAACTTATTTGGTTTTATTATTCCAGGTTTTTGGACATCACGGACTTAGGCACAATGAATACTTTAATGGCGGTTGGTGCTAGACGGACATATCACATACATGACTAAATTTACTGCCGTTCCAGTTGACAGTTCACTTGGCTTGGATCAAATCCTTCTTGGAAACAATTAATTCCGCCAAGGAATTCAACATAAATTTTTGGCTGACCTCCTCCGTTCATAGAATCGGAGACACAAACATTTAAACACCATTAATATAATACAATACAACACAGTACTGACTTTAACTTGTTCGCACAAACGCATTCACGCACAACAATAAAACACAAGTGTTAATTGAACACAAAAACAAAATTTAATTTAATTTTTTGGGAGATTTTCTTCAAATATATTTTAATTAGCAAATAAAAATGTCTTCTTTGCTAATACACCAAACAAACTGCCTCGATTTTCCCCCGTTATGCCTTTTATATGGCCGCAGCCATGGTAGAAGAATACAGGTAGTCGCATCAACACAGCTGCTGGGAAAATGCACTGTCAAATCGATTTTGGAATTGAAAATGTTAAATGAAAAATCATTGAAATTTGTAAAAATTGTATTACAACAACTTCAGATTTGCGTCGTATAAGAAAACATTAAAAAATCTAATCATTTTTGATAAAACATTTTTAAAATTTTTACATATCAATGTTCCCAAGGGCTGATGCATCTACCTATATTCTTCTACCATGGCCTGATTCATCAAATTACCTTTATCGTACCTACTGAGCCCTACATTAGAGTTGTATTTCTCGGGTTTATATTTTACGCCGGTTGGCAACACTGATTTCTTCAACCGAGCTTAACATATCAGGTTAATTTTTTCCTGACCGGCAGCAAGCAAACACATCATATCGAGGACTTGCTGCTAATTATTTTTTTCTTAAATTAAAATAAAAAACCACATGTAACATGTTTCAAATTTGGTATTTGATGTTTATAATGGATACTACAGCCTATGACAGAAAATTGTCTGTCCCATATTGTAGTATTTCCCGATATTCGGTATTTTGATGATCACATATAATAGTACCTCCCGATGTTCGGTATTTTAATGATTTTGATGATTCAGGTCCACGTCGTCGTACAGACCCTAATATAACGGCTACATTAGGTATTTTTAGGATTTTAACAGAATTTTTAACGAATTTTATTTTTTTGAAAATTGTCAAATTCGTTCCAAATGGTGGAGGGTATTCAAAGTTCGGCCCGGCTGAACTTACAGATTTTTTACTTGGTTTTATTATTACTTGATGTAATTCGAAATATTAAAAGTCTGTTTTTACTGGCTAGAGACATATCTTACATTCATACAAATCGAATTTCTATAATAAAGAAATTGAGAATATTTCATCGATTTTTTATCAGGCCAAGACTTCACAAACGTTAATAATTTCAACTAAATATCAATTAAAAACTTTAACAGCTCCAAATTTTATCTACAGATTCCAACCTTATTAACTTTGGCTGAATTAAAACCAGCATAGGCAGCCTTGGCTAATTTCAACATATCATCCATAATATCACCAGCTCCATTCAAACCAAGCCGCTGTTGGACAGGTATTTCGAAAAACATCCAAATTTGCATTTCCTGTTCGGCAGAGTAATAATCCCGTATGGTATCCACCAACATTGAAGTATTGCCCCTGGGTCTTATATCCAAATTTGCCAAACATGTACTCAGGGCCACTTTCCCATCCGTATCCAATTTGCCGGCAACAATTTGCATATAGGAAAATTTCACCTCATACATTATACGATTTCTATCCGAAAAGCTGAATAGAAAATCCAAACACTCATGACCCTGACAACCGGCAACTAACTGCTGATAATCACCATTTAGCCATCGTTGCAGATCCATGGTGCTTAGGAATTTCTTGCGGCGTGTTGGCCTGCCCAACAAATTGACCATATCGAATTTACGTATATCGAAATATTCACATTGGATGCAGCTCAAACTTAGCTGGGCCGATTGCATTCGCTTGTCGACCTCACAGACCAGTAAATGATTGAGAACTGCGGCCGATGATTCACGTTTCGCCACACATCGTATCATGCAACAGTTTCGTTGTTGTAGCAACAAATGTGCCATCATCGAAGCCATCTCAGAACGTGTCCGTGCATCAAAACCATTGCCAACGCAATCGAAATGCAATTTAGCCTTTGAAGGTGAGGATGATGATGACAAAGTGGAAAATTGAGACGATGATTTCCGATTGACTTGTAACGTGTCGTAACCCAACGCAACAAAAGGATCAGTCAGCTCGGGTCTAGCACGAACTTGTACCAGCGTTAATTTCGAGTGGGAAGCATTTTGTGATCCCAATTTATTTAGTTGAACGATTACGCGATGTTTTTCCGAAACTGCTTTTTCCAAAGAATGCATTCTTGCAAATTTCAAATTTTCAAAGGGAGTTTTGAATTGTGATTTATTTTTTTTGTTGGAAAATTTTGAATTTGAATTGACACAAATTAATGATTTCTTATGGTGTTGCCGTGGTACAATAATTTGAAAATTTTTAAAATTTCAATTAAATCCAAGACCTATATAAAGTCGGACAAGAAGATTGTTATTTACAATAAATTGAAAAGTAATTAGTAGGTTTTGCTCAATTGGGAATTGATATACTTTGAATTTCAAACTACAACAAAGTCTTTTGAAAGCAAACGTAGTTATCCGAAGGACTTACTGGCCGATCTTATTTTGCCCTTGATTAAATTTAATTAAATCAAGGAAGGACACTGCTACCAATCCTTAAAGAATGCTCAAAATCGGAGTCATTCTTACAAGGGGACTAAGCTTTTATACCCTCCACCATAGTATGGAGTGAATATCAAGTTTGTCATTTCGTTTGTAACACCTCGAAATATACATTTTCCCCACAAAGTATATATATACAGGGTGAGATAAAAGAACCGCAACAAAGTCAAACGCTATAATTTTTACATTTTTTAATTTTATTGAATGAAAGCAAAAAATATCGGAAATAGCATCAAATTTTAGAATAAGTTTAGATTTGTTCGAATTGGTCATCTTTGTCACGAATTATGGCCTTTAAACGGCCAATGAAACCGTCACACGCTGCCCGAATTTTGCTCAGCTGTATTTTGTGCCATTCCCGCGAAGCTCTTGTTTGAGGTGATCGACACTTTGGTATTTTTTAGTGCCATCCTTGCAAGACACAATAGTTAACGGATTGGTGTTCGGGGAACTTCATTTTGTAACCATTCTTGGGTGGCGCGTGCTGAGTCCTCTTGGAATGTCCAAGGTCTGCGGCCAAAATGTTTGCGTATCCAAGGCGTTAATACACCCTTCAGAATATTTTCGCGATAATATTCGGTATTTAATGTGATGTCACGATCGATTAATACGAGCGGAGAACGACAATCGGCTGTTATGGCGGCCCACATTATCACCATGGCCGGCGCTTGAGTTTTAGTGGCCAACCAAGGTGCACATTTTCAGCTGACCTCTTTGGCAAGTAAACACGATCATTTTGTTTGTTTGCAAACTACTGAACAACGAAAGTTTTCTCATCGGAGAGAACCAAATTCGGCAGTACACCACTTTCGGCAACTGTTTAGCTCTTTTGAATCTATTTTCTTTCTGCTGCGGTGTAAGTTCTTGCACTTTTTGGAATTTCAATGGCTTTATCCCGAGCTCATTTTTCAATATTTGTCGAATGGAATATTGCGATATGTGCAGCTCATAAGCCATTTTTCGGCCACTGCGACGCGGGTTTCGATCAAGTCGCTTTTTTATTGTTCGAACCATTTCTGCTGATGTTGCTGTTTTCTTCCGTCCACTTCCTTGACGTCTGGTTACGCTATCAGTATAACGGTAGCAAGCGATGCTTCTAGACACAAAAGATTTATTCACATTTATATGCTAGAGTGCTCTAAGGATAGCCACTTGCGGTTTTTCAGCCAAATATAAACAAATCACACTATCACGCTTGAATTCCATCACGAATAACTTTTTTACTGGAAAATTCTCACCAAAATGCTTTTGTACCCTTGTAATCAATATAATGAGCTGTCACTGGAATAATTTTAACAGCTGTCGGACGAGTGGCTTAGAACTGACAGCAGTCTGAAGTTTGTTGCAGTTGTTTCATCTCAGCTTGTATATTCAAGATCAGCATTAAATTCTAAGAACGATATCCGTCTGTCTGTCTGTTGAAACTACGATACACCCCACATTATTTGACGTAGAGCTTCAAAACTTGGCAAAACAATTTGTATTGTGTCTAGGATGGTTGGTATTGGAAATGAGATATATCGGTCTACATTTTGGTATAGCCGTCATAATACGGTACCTCCCGATATTCGGTGTCATAATGATTTTTGCCACACTATTTGTATTTGTAGTTCGTAATTGTTTCTAGCTCCGGTGGCAGAACTTAGTATATATAGGTCAACGATTTGGTACAGCGTACATATTACGATACCCTCCGACATTCGGTATTTTTATAATCATAGTCACATTTACCCACGAAATTGTTTTAAAATTTGGTATCTAAGAAGATTTCTTAGATGACAATCCTAGAAATATAAAATTGTCTATAGAGGTTCCCGTCTATATAACGATACCCTCCGACATTCGGTATTTTTATAATCCTAGTCACATTTACTCACGAAATTGTTTTAAAATTTGGTATCTAAGAAGATTTCTTAGATGACAATCCTAGAAGTATAAAATTGTCTATAGAGGTTTCCGTTTTGGTATGGCCTTCATATACTTTATGGTTTTTTGAAAAGTTTACAAGTATTATCCAAACGGTCTTACTGGTATTTGTAGTTTAAAGTGGAACACGTTTGAATTCAGATACTTTCATATAAAAATGTTTTCTTTATCCAAAGGTGTTTTAGTTCTAATTTCATAATCTGTGTGATTTCCCCGTAATTATTCCTTGAATAAAACAACAATACATATGGCTTATATACACCTCTTTTGATTTTTTATTTATTTATGCTCGATGATAAAATTAATACATCTATAAATTGCTGAATCATATATTAAACAAAACCTAGAATGCATTTTACATAATATTTAGTAATATTTATAATTCATACATTTATTTTTATGTTTTGTTTTTTTTTTTTTATACGTAAACATTCTATAGAAAAAGTTATGTCCTGCTGGAGAATAAAAAACAATTTCATTGAATTTATTTAGGAAATTAAACGATTATTATGGATAGAAAAGACTCCATTAAAAAAGTATTTTCTGAAAATCAGTTGTACTTATCTCATGAAACTTCAACGAATTCCTTATATCAGCTTTCGATTTCAATTTCCTACATCATATTCATTGTGGACCAAAGATTGTATAAATTCATTCATATTTTTTTCATTCAGTAACTGGCTATGTATGTTTAATAGTTTTTTTTAATATTATTTTACTATTTTATTTTGTCAATATATAATACAATAGCTATTATATATATATATAGTTTAGTTAGTAGTTATTTATATAATTTTTGCCGTTTTTTAATTTATAATTGTTATATAGTAATTATATTTCATTTATTGTCAACAAATTATGCCATTTAATCAACAATGACATGCGATAGTTGTATATTTTAGTTAATGTATTTAATTGTAATACAATCATCAAATAGAAGTTGGTTACAGTTTTGTTTGTTATTTTGGAGAAGTCTTTAGATAAAATCCTGTCAAAAAAGAAACCGAATTTTATGGTAAAATTTTAAATTTTAGAAAAAGATTCAGTTTGTTTTTTGTTTGTTTTGTTATATGTATTTGATGCAAACATTTATATATAAATTTAATTATACATACATATATTATGCAAAATAAATTTTACTCGTAATTGTTAAACGTTTTCTTTTATGGGTAGATACATGTTTTATGTAGAGAGGTAATTTGAGGTGATACAAGTCAAGTCGTGGCGAAGACGATGTAGACTCGCAAACTAACACCGATTAAAAAATCATAAAATTCTCTCTGTTCCAGAACTGCAATAATGTAAAAGTTTTTACTACGATAAAAGATTTCCCTTTATGATATCGAAAAAAATTGCAAAAACAGTAGGTTCTTGCAGGTACTGGAATCAATAATAATATTATAATATTCAAGGTAGCCAAGACCAGGAAGGAAAAAACAAAGGTCGGATGGACCGACCTTAAGATATCCTACACCATTCTGGACATTTAGCAGAGTAGATTCTCGTAACACATTTACAGGGTGAGATGAAAAAACTTCAACAAACTTCAGACTGCTGTCATTTCCAAGCCACACGTCCGACAGCTATTAAAATTATTGCAGTGACAGCTCATTATATTGTTTACAAAAAGCGTACAAAAGCATTTTGGTGAGAATTTTCCAAAAAAAGTTATTCGTGATGGAATTCCAGCGTGATTTCTTTATATTTGGCTGGAAAACCACAAGTTGCTATCGTTAGAGCACTGCAGCATTTAAATGTGAATAAATATTTTGTGTCTCGTACCATCGCTTGTTACCGTGATACGTAAGGTAGCGTAATCCGACATCAAGGAAAACAGCAACATCAGCAGAAATGGTTCGAAAAGTAAAGAAGATCGAAACCCGCATCGCAGTGACCGAAAAGTGGCTCGTGAGCTGAACATGTCGCAATATTCCATTCGGCAAATATTGAAAAATAAGCTCGGGGTAAAGTCATTGAAATTCCAAAAAGTGCAAGAACTTACACCGCAACAGAAAGAAAATAGACTCAAATAAGCTTAAGAGTTGCTTCGCTTGGCCGAAAGTGGTGAACTGCCGAATTTGGTTTTTTCCGATGAGAAAACATTTGTTGTCAAGCAGTTTGTAAACAAAGATGTCCGCAATCAATAAATGTAGAGAAATACGAGCTTCTTGAATTTTCAACTTTAAAAGGGCATAACTTCTATTTTTAACAACGGATTTCTGTTATTTTTGTACCCTAAAATACTATGTGTTGGGGGTATTATAAGTTTGATTGGGCCAAAAATTATGTAACGTCTCGAAATATTCGTTTCCCACATAGAAAGGTATATAAGGATCTTTAATCTCGTCGAGCTGAGTCGATCTAGCTATGTATGTCCTAGCTAGATCCGATCTAGCTATGTATTTGTAATCACGCTACAGGTCGCAATTATGGCCTGATCGATAAATTCAGAAATTTATAATGGAGTTAGTGCAAGAGCCAGAATAGAAGCCTACTGCTTTTGGAGATGATCGGATAAAAAAAAATTTCCTTTAAAAACATTTGCTGATTTTGCAGTTGCGCTGCAGGTCGCAATTGTGGACCAATCGAAGCGGAAGTTAGCATGGGGTTAGAGCTTAGGGCTGGTCAGAAGTCTTCCAATTTTGACGGTCTTCTGGTAATATTCAGTTGGTGAAATAGACCACAACATTTGTGTTAAATAAAAGTCAAATTTTCCATTAAACTGCGAATATTTTTAATCCGGGCGAAATCACAAATAGACGAACAGGTAAATGATCACCGTTATATATATATTCAATGTATATATACAAAGGAAGAGGATGTTAGCTAGAATGCCTATATCTCAAGAATGGCTAGATCGATTTTGACAAATTTTGTTAATTTAGAATGCCCTCTTGTCATAAAAGTATAAATTCTAAAAAAATCGCATAAGGCAAATTTTTTGCATTTTTATGCTGATTTCTTTGACGAATATAGCCAAATATCGTAGACAAGCAAATCATATACATGCGTCTAATTTTGGAGATGATCGCAAAACGTTTAGGAGTTCAAATAAACGAAAAAAAAGAAACAATTTCCTGATCACACAATTGAAGCCAATCGACACGCCTAAGAAGAGAGTTAAGGACGGGGAAGAATTCTAACATTTTGGATTACCATTGGATTATATTTAACTGTAAAATGGACCACAACAACTAACAGCACGGAGGAGTGCCTAAATATTGGGCAAATGTCCCCGGTCAAAATGCTAAGGCTAATATCTAGGCAGTGCTCCGTCACATAATTTCAAGAGCAAAAACTTCCAAAATGGATTTGTACATAAGGGGGCTCCTAATTGTAGTATTGTAGGGCATCTCATGGTCGGCCTCGCACTTCTATAGCCTTTGCCTACTTGTTTTGTTTTGACTTTTTTGTTCTTATTAATGGCATATTAAATTAAGCCCTAACGGAAGGACTCTAGTCTAGTAAAAACTCTCGGGTTTTTTTAATTTTTTTCCAAGGGGTAGGTATTTGCACCCTGATTCCTGGAAAGTATATTTTTCAAAGACCTAAAATTGTAAAAACTAGACAAAATGCATTTTTAGCAAGGTTTGAAAAATCCAAAAATGTGGTTTTAAAATTGTATTACATAGATCTTTTCAAAAAATTTGTATATACCCTTAGCGGTTTACATCAGTTAACATTGGTAACTATGATATCATAACAATAGAGGTATTTTCAAAGTGTTGCATGTCTTGTTTCATTCTTATACTTCTATGTCTTTGTATTTTTCTTGGGGGACGGACCTGGATACCCGGATATTTGACCCAAAAGTCTGGGTCCATGACCCGGGTTACACCCTGACCTACAAAGCAGATTTGGACATTATAGGTATCATTCCGTTCCAATGACATGCACGATAGTAAGATTGTTATGCTTCATATATAAATTATCTATATGTATATCAGCTTTAACATTTGAAAATAGACTCTACGTTTTAAAATCATTGATAGCCCTAAAAATCTCGATAATTATCTTCATAAAAATGTTAAGTCAAATTTTGTATTTGATTAAAGTAGTTATAAATTTCAATTCTTTCAATCGCCAGTTTTATTTTAAATATAATATGGAGCCAGAATCCCCTTCGGAAAAAAATCAAATGAATAAAATTTCAGAAAAGTTAGTTTTAGAAGGAAGAATCACCTCAAATACCTCTCCACATAAATGTAGCATTCTCTCAAAATATTGCGCTTTTTATTTGCCTTTCTCTTGCTTTCTTTTCAAACTTTAAACAAATATTTTTAACATTTTAATAAATAAACATTTATGTTATGTATGTAATTATTGCTGTTTCTATTTTTTGTTTTTTTTTTTTTTGTAACATATATGTATAATAAAAACATTCTCTCTTATACAATTTATCTGGGAGTAGCAAATTTCAAGGTATCTGTGGTTATTTGAGGATATGTTTTGTGATGTTCAAATGATGTTGGGTTTTGGTTAATACTCGAGCGGGGTGGATTAGGGGCACATTTTAATTTATGTGGTCCATTAACAGGTATGGGTGTGTATTTATGTTGTTATCAGACAAATCCTTTGCTAGTTCTATTTCTCATAAAAAGTTATGTGTTTTTGTTAAGTAGGAGTTGTGTTCTCTTCTAATGGCAGTTAAGTTCAGCTTTCATACTTTCATGGAATATAGCTAAACATTTCTTTACAAAAAATATATCATTCAAGATGTCCTTCTTATTTTATTTAAACATAATCTATTTGTTTAACTTAACTTTTAAAACTATAATTAAAAAAGCATTTCTTTATATAAAAAGTCATGTCATTCTATTGGGGTAACACAAAATAATTTCTCGTTTTCCACGATTTTTACGATTTGTAATTAAATCAAAATCACATATTATTGATTTTCTTCAATGAAAAATAAATCCTCTTGTAAAAAGAAATTATACAATTAACTAAAAAACTCATAATAAAAGCCTTAGATTTTTTTTTTATAAACATAAAAAACTATATGTAAATGCCATTTTGTGTTTTTGTTTCGGTTTGAAAGCAGCTTTTCTCGTTATTATTGTATTTGCTTGTTTGTTTTGCATCCTTATTTCTCTCACTGTATCTAAGGGGGGTTGCCGGTTCATCATTTCATTTGCCAAATTCTATTTTGTTTTACACCTGAGCTGGTTTAGTCTTTCCAAGGACCATGAGAACTTTCTGCAGAAACCTTGTTAGACTTACTGTAAATTAGAGGGAGAGAATAAGGAATAAAATGTTAATAATAAATTACTTAATGTATTCCTATTTTTTTTAAAATTAGTATTAGTTCTATCGGCATGCACCATTCCGGTTAGTAGAATTGTTAAAGATTGTTTACGAGTTTTTGACAAATTTAGGCCAATTTAAAATAAATTTTAATTTAGAAATATATATAAAAAATTGGAAATTCTCAGAGTCACAATTATATAATATCCGAATGTGTTATATTGTATTAGAATAGAAAAAAGTTCTCTGAGGAAGAACTTAATGTATTTTTTACAATGAAAACAAAAAACTCGAACTATTGGTTTTATTATAAAAGAACTCACCACGTCTTGGAATATTTCATTTTTTTTAAGAAACAAGAAGTTCTTCTTTTTGAAGACGAGAAAGTCTTCTTATATATGACCGCAAGGTCTACTTATTCTCATAGAAGACCGCAAGGTCTTCTCATGAATTACCACAAGGTCTTCCAATTGAAGATCACAAGGTTCTTATAGAAGACAAGGAGGTGGGAGGAGGAAGGTCTTCGAATAGAAGACAAATAGGTATTCTTATAGAAGACAATAAGGTCTTTTTATAGAAGACAAGAAGGTCTTCTTATATAAGACAAGATGGTCTTCGTATAGGAGACCAGAAGGTCTTCGTATAGGAAACCGGAAGGTCTTCGTATAGGAGACCGGAAGGTCTTCGTATAGGAGACCAGAAGGTCTTCGTATAGGAGACCGGAAGGTCTTCGTATAGGAGACCGGAAGGTCTTCGTATAGGAGACCAGAAGGTCTTCGTAGAGAAGACCAGAAGGTCTTCGTAGAGAAGACCTGAAGGTCTTCGTATAGGAGACCGGAAGGTCTTCGTATAGGAGACCGGAAGGTCTTCGTATAGGAGACCGGAAGGTCTTCGTAGAGATGACCAGAAAGTCTCCGTAGAGAAGACCAGAAGGCCTCCGTAGAGAAGACCAGAAGTCTTCGTAGAGGAGACCAGAAGGTCTTCGTAGAGAAGACCAGAAGGTCTTCGTATAGAAGACCAGAAGGTCTTCGTATAGAAGACCAAAAGGTCTTCGTATAGAAGACCGGAAGGTCTTCGTAGGGAAGACCAGAAGGTCTTCGTAGGGAAGACCAGAAGGTCTTCGTAGGGAAGACCAGAAGGTCTTCGTAGAGAACACCAGAAGGTCTTCGTAGAGAAGACCAGAAGTCTTTCGTAGAGAAGACCAGAAGGCTTTCGTATAGAAGACCAGAAGGTCTTCGTATATAAGACCAGAAGGTCTTCGTAGAGAAGACCAGAAGGTCTTCGTAGAGAACACCAGAAGGTCTTCGTAGAGAAGACCAGAAGTCTTTCGTAGAGAAGACCAGAAGGCTTTCGTATAGAAGACCAGAAGGTCTTCGTATATAAGACCAGAAGGTCTTCGTAGAGAAGACCAGAAGGTCTTCGTAGAGAAAACCAGAAGGTCTACGTATAGAAGACCAGAAGGTCTTCGTAGAGAAGACCAGAACATCTTCGTAGAGAAGACCAGAAGGTCTTCGTAGAGAAGACCAGAAGGTCTTCGTAGAGAAGACCAGAAGGTCTTCGTAGAGAAGACCAGAAGGTCTTCGTAGAGAAGACCAGAAGGTCTTCGTAGAGAAGACCAGAAGGTCTTCGTAGATAAGGCCAGAAGGTTTTCGTTTAGGATTCCAGAAGGTCTTCGTATTGAAGACTAGAAAGTCTCCTTCTTGAAGACCAGAAGGTCTCCTTCTTGAAGACCAGAAGGTCTTCGTCTTGAAGACCTGGTCTTCGTATTGAAGTCCATTTCTAAGCTAATCGTCCGACAGCTGTTAAAATTATTCCAGTGACAGCTCATTATATTGTTTACAAGGGAAAGCATTTTGAGAAAAAAGCTATTCGGGATGGAACTCAAGCGTGATAGTGTGATTTCTTTGTATTTGGCTGGAAAACCATAGGTGGCTATTGTTAGAGCACTCCAGCATTTGAATGTGAATAAATTTTTGTGTCTCGTACCATCGCTCGTTACCGTGATACTGGTAGCGTAGCCCTACGTCAGCATCAGCAGAAACGGTTTGAAAAGTAAAGAAACGACTTGATCGAAACCAGCGTCGCAGTGGCCGAAAAATGGCTCGTGAGCTGAACATATCGCAATATTTCATTCGGCAAATATTGAAAAATTAGATTGGGGTAAAGCCATTGATATTCCAAAAAGTGCAAAAACTCACACCCCAACAAAAAGAAAATAGACACAAAAGAGCTAAAAAGTTGCTTCGCTTTCTGAAAGTTGTAAACTGCAGAATTTGGTTTTCTCCGATGTAGAAACATTCGTTGTCCAGCAATTTGTAAACAAACAAAATGATCGTGTTTACTTGCCGAAGAGGTCAGCTGAAAATGTGCATGTGATGGTGTGGACCGCCATAACAGCCGCTCGTATTAGTCGACCTTGGCATCAGAATAAATGCCGAATATTATCGCAAAAATATTCTGGAGGGTGAATTTAAGCCCTGGTCCGCAAACATTTTGGCCGCAGACCTTGGACATTCCAACAGGACTCAGCACCATCGGACTCAGCACGTGCCACCCAAGAATGGTTACAAAATGAGATTCCTCGCTTCATTTCCAGCGCACCATCAAAATCTCCGGATACCAATCCGTTGGACTATTGTGTCTGGAGTATTTGGGAAAGCAAGGTTGGAACTAAAAATTACCAAAGCGTCGATAACCTCAAGCAAGCGCTTCGCCGGGAATGGACCAAAATACCGGGGCAGCGTGTGACGGCTTCATTGGACGTTTGAAGGCCATACTACTACCAAAGGTGACCAATTCGAACAAATCTAAACATATTCTAAAATTTGATGCTATTTTCGAAATTTTTTGCTTTCATTCAATAAAATTAAAAAAAAAAAAAAAATGTAAAAATTAAAGCGTTTGGCTTTGTTGCAGTTTTTTTTTATCTCACTCTGTATAATCGAAGACCAAAATGTCTTCTTATTTAAAGTAAGAACAAACATAATATTAACATTTTCAATTTTGTAACTCTGAAAATTTTCAAAAGAAAAATTTCCATTCAGCATTAGGTGTGTCTGGTTACCCTAAAATTTGTAACAATTGTTACAAATTGTTACTGGAAGTCGTCTGTTAACCCGAAAGTTCTGCAAAAGAGAGCGGTTGGAGAGAGAAATTTTGACAGTTGTTTCAGTGAGAGTTTGCAAATTCTTGCTGGACAAATTTCTTCTTGCAATCACTTGCAACTCTTCTTCTTCTCATTTATCGACATTCAATCAGATGTTTTATATCGTTTGTTTATTTCTTTTTGTGCTTTCAATTTGAAAATATTTTTTTGGAATTAGCAAGACTAATAGTTTTTGGAGAACAACTTTACAAAATGTGGAAAACGTAAATGTTAATATGCAATAAGACAAAAAACGACTATTTCCAACATTTTTATTTAAAAAACTTGTAAAATTAGCATTGCTTCCTTTGTTTTAATTCTCCTTATGAGGGACAAATTGGTTTGTTTTGACAAATCAGCTGATTAGTTGCAAGCTTCTGCAGGAATACCGTCTGTTTACTTTTCGCATTTTCCTTGCAAAAGAGAATAAAACTACCTTACTCTCTCAGAAAGAAGTTACTGGACAATTCCTGCTGGAAAAGTAACCAGACACACCTATTATCTAAATACTATATTTGTGATCCTAAAACTACATGTTGTGGACAAATTTTGTGCAAAGAAAAACAATATTTAACAAAAAAGGATTGTGCATAGAAAAACAGGATGGAGAAGGCATGCAATGAAAACAGGGGAAAACAGATAAAACATAAAGATTTCACAAGGAAAAATAACCAAAACCAAAAAAGAAAGAAATTAATAAAAAAAAAAATAAAAACCTTTGAGGAACTTTTTGGTCGAACAACCATCATCATTTTCTGTAATGCTTGGGTAAATCCACCTATAAAAATTAAAATGGACATTAGGATTTGGAAATAAAAATAATGGGAATAAATATATTTTATTCCCGTCTTCTTCTTCGTCTTAGGATAAAAAAGCCCAATGAGCGAATGAGTTGATATTTGAATTTAAACATGGAATATATTTTAATAAAATTTGTATTTATTATTTAAATAAAAAATTCGACTTACCCATAGTCTTTTGGAACCACATTGGTTTGTTTTTCCACGCAATAAATACCAAATAAACGGGTATACTGGACATGATCATGAGAATGCCATAGCCGGTCTCAACAGGACTGGCATACATGGGTACGACGGTGACAAAAACTGTGGCCAACAAATAAACGATGGGGAAGACTAAGGGGACACGGATGGGACGGGGCAAATTGGGTTGGGCCCAACGTAACCAGGGTAAGCACAGAACGGCAACACCAATACTTAACTGTGAGATATTGAAAAAAGAATGGATCAAAAAAATACTTTTATACAAAAGTTTTAGGAACTTACCCATGTTGCAAAGCCCACATAGTTGATAAGGGCAAAGATATCCGAAACTGTCAAATATAACATCGACAACAAAGCCATGGCCAGGACAGCAGGGGTGGGTGTAAATCTTTGTATCTGGATCATAGTTAAAATTTCAGGCATTTGACCCTCATTGGCACCGGCATAGAACAAACGGGATGAGGTCAAGAGAATACCATTTACAGCACCGAATGTTGAAAGAGCCACAAACACTGCAAAAAGGGAAATGTTAAGGAGTGAGTCCTATTCAAAAACTAAACAATCTTTTGTCATTTACCTGGAATGGTCCATGCAATAACACCAAAAGCTCTTTCGGCATAGGTTACGGCAACAGCTTGAGATCCCAAAACTTCATCGGGTGACAAAATGGTGTAGAACGAAACATTGGCCAAGACATAAACTAGTGTTACCAACACGCAGGAAATAGCAATGGCACGAGGCAAATTCTTAACGGGATCTTTCAATTCTTCAATGATGAAATTAAGGTAGTTCCTGGAAGAAGATAGGAAGGATAAAACGATTTGAAGTATAAGTGGAAATTCGAAGACTACATTTTTTAAAAATGAGGTTATTCAAAAATATAATTCTGACTTCAAAATTGTAGGTGTTCCAACGATAGAAGACTTTAAAAAGTCCACCATTCAAAAAGACCTAAAATAGGTCTTCTATCCCTAGAAAACCTGAAGTAGATCCAGTATTCGTAGAAAATTTGAACACAGTCTTCATTTCGAAATAGGAGAGCTGGAGAATATCTTCTATTCATATTAGATCTCAAGAAGGTCTTATATCGATAGAAGATATTCTATCGAAAAGAAATTTATCCATAAGAGATCTGACAAGGGTTGTTTATCCACAGGAGACTCTAAATGGGTCTTCTATTTATAGAAGATCTGAAGAAGGTCATCTATCCATAGATGACTGGAAAAAGGTCCTCATTCCTAGGAAATATGAGAAAGTTATTCCATCTATAATATAAAAGCATGTCTCCATTCATTTAACACCTGAACAATGTCTCCTATCCAGGTATGGCTTGGATAATGTCTCCAACCCAAAGATGACATAATAGAAGTCTCCAATCCATAGAATACCTGTCTTCTATCCGCAGAAAACTTAAAGAAGGACCAGGAAGAGGCATTCTATCCATGAAAACCTGAAGAAAGTCTTTATCCATGAAAGACCTGAAGAAGATCTTCTATCCATAGAAGGCCTGAAGAAGGTCTGCTATCCATAGAAAACCTGAAGAAGATCTTCTATCCAAAGAAGACCTGAAGAAGGTATTCTTTACATAGAAGACCTGAAGAAGGTCTTCTATCCATAGAAGACCTGAAGAAGGTCTTCTATCCATAGAAAACCTGAAGAAGGTCTTCTATCCATAGAAGACATGAAGAAGGTCTTCTATCCATAGAAAACCTGACGAAGGTCTTCTATCCATAGAAAACCTGAAGAAGGTCTTCTATCAATAGAAGACCTGAAGAAGGCCTTCTATCAATAGAATACCTGAAGAAGGTCTTCTATCCATAGAATACCTGAAGAAGGTCTTCTATCCATAGAAGACCTGAAGAAGTGCTCTATCCATAGAAGACCTGAAGAAGGTCTTCTATCAATAGAAGACTTGAAGAAGGTCTTCTATCAATAGAAGACCTGAAGAAGGTCTTCTATCAATAGAAGACCTGAAGAAGGTCTTCTATCAATAGAATACCTGAAGAAGGTCTTCTATCCACAGAAGACCTGAAGAAGGTCTTCTATCCATAAAAGACCTGAAGAAGGTCTTCTATCCATAGAAGACCTGAAGAAGGTCTTCTATCCATAGAAGACCTGAAGAAGGTCTTCTATCCACAGAAGACCTGAAGAAGGTCTTCAATCCATAAAAGACCTGAAGAAGGTCTTCTATCCATAGAAGACCTGAAGAAGGTCTTCTATCCATAGAAGACCTGAAGAAGGTCTTCTATCCATAGAAGACCTGAAGAAGGTCTTCTATCCATAGAAGACCTGAAGAAGGTCTTCTATCCATAGAAGACCTGAAGAAGGTCTTCTATCCATAGAAGACCTGAAGAAGGTCTTCTATCCATAGAAGACTGAAGAAGGTCTTCTATCCATAGAAGACCTGAAGAAGGTCTTCTATCCATAGAAGACCTGAAGAAGGTCTTCTATCCATAGAAGACCTGAAGAAGGTCTTCTATCCATAGAAGACCTGAAGAAGGTCTTCTATCCATAGAAGACCTGAAGAAGGTCTTCTATCCATAGAAGACCTGAAGAAGGTCTTCTATCCATAGAAGACCTGAAGAAGGTCTTCTATCCTGAAGAAGGTCTTCTATCCATAGAAGACCTGAAGAAGGTCTTCTATCCGTAGAAGACCTGAAGAAAGTCTTCTATCCATAGAAGACCTGAAGAAGGTCTTCTATCCATAGAAGACCTGAAGAGGTCTTCTATCCATAGAAGACCTGAAGAAGGTCTTCTATCCATAGAAGACCTGAAGAAGGTCTTCTATCCATAGAAGACCTGAAGAAGGTCTTCTATCCATAGAAGACCTGAAGAAGGTCTTCTATCCATAGAAGACCTGAAGAAGGTCTTCTATCCGTAGAAGACCTGAAGAAGGTCTTCTTTCCATAGAAGACCTGAAGAAGGTCTTCTATCCATAGAAGACCTGAAGAAGGTCTTCTATCCATAGAAGACCTGAAGAAGGTCTTCTATCAATAGAATACCTGAAGAAGGTCTTCTATCCACAGAAGACCTGAAGAAGGTCTTCTATCCATAAAAGACCTGAAGAAGGTCTTCTATCCATAGAAGACCTGAAGAAGGTCTTCTATCCATAGAAGACCTGAAGAAGGTCTTCTATCCATAGAAGACCTGAAGAAGGTCTTCTATCCATAGAAGACCTGAAGAAGGTCTTCTATCCATAGAAGACCTGAAGAAGGTCTTCTATCCATAGAAGACCTGAAGAAGGTCTTCTATCCATAGAAGACCTGAAGAAGGTCTTCTATCCATAGAAGACCTGAAGAAGGTCTTCTATCCATAGAAGACCTGAAGAAGGTCTTCCATCCATAGAAAACCTGAAGAAGGTCTTCCATCCATACAAAGAAGACCTGAAGAAGGTCTTCCATCCATAGAAAACCTGAAGAAGGTCTTCCATCCATACAAAGAAGACCTGAAGAAGGTCTTCCATCCATAGAAGACCTGAAGAAGGTCTTCTATCCATAGAAGACCTGAAGAAGGTATTCTATCCATAGAAGACCTGAAGAAGGTCTTCTATCCATAGAATACCTAAAGAAGGTCTTCTATCTATAGAAGACCTGAAGCCGATTTTCTTTAAATATAAATTAAATTTTAATAAGAATAATAGCCAAAGCATCCAAAGTATTTTTTTAGATCTTAAAATAACATGATTAGCTATTATTTAATATCATGTACTACCCTGACAGCATCATTCAATTATCAGCGTAATTGAATTAACTTCAACTGCCAGTTGCATGTCTTCTTCTTTATTTTCCAATCGCTTGCCATGTAATAAGGGACCACACAAAAATAATAAAATCACAAAATCCTATTATTTTTATAAGAAGACTATTTCATGACTTCCAATTGCAAGGAAACGAAAAAAAAAATCAGAATGCCAAGCAACAAGTGGTGGCATTTCGAAACCTTCAATAACATCCTAGATCCTGGGTCAAAGATGCGTACGCAATATATTCTCATTTACCATTTCGCCCATTACCCTCCCATCCCACCCCATCCCTTAACTCACCATCCATTGTAGGCAAATAATCCCGAGTAAAACGAAAGCGCCAGTGACGTGACTCGTGTATCCGTATTTTCAAATGTAAAATATTCCGTATGGCCCAAGTAGAGTTGGTAAATGCCCGATGCAATGATAATAAACAAGGCCAACAGCTAATAAATGGAGATAAAATAGAGACAAATCAGTTTATGGCATTATCTTTATGTCAGGGAAAGATGTTGGTCAGTTGAATCCAGTTTAACTTACTTTGGCATATGTGAAAATATCCTGCACTGCAGTAGCCCATTTAACGTCCCAACAGTTGACAAATGTCAGGATACCTAAAATGCGAAAAGAGTGACATTAGTTGGCTTAAGAAATGAAAATGCTCAATTTAATGGATTTTATTTGAATTTGTGAGCGCGGAAGGATTTCCAATAAGGAAAACAGTGATAGTCTTCTGTTTCTAGAATGATATTTTTTTAAAGTAACGATTCCTATTTACAGTAGATTTATTTTATTTATGTGTGTTAATATGTTTGTAGAGTAATTGTATGATGTAATATTTTCAAAAAATTACATTCGTTAGAAGAGCTAACATTATACTACGACAGTTATTTCTGAGTTTCCATGCCTACATAATTACTTATTCTTTGTGATTTAAAGCAAATAAACAAGTAAACGTAATGGGTTGATTCAGTAATGCATGGTTCAATATCAGTTAATATTATTATTTTTTTAAATTATTAACTCCAGCAAATCTCATCGCATTAAAATGATTTTTTATTAATTATTTAAAAAACACATCAGAACTTACATATACAACACACAGCTAACAGTCGGGCTGCATCTTCGGGCGGTGTACATTCCGGGAAGAATGGTTTCAGCACATACACACTGAATGTGAGCGCCACAATTGCCTGAGAGCACGGCCGCACAATCATACACTCAATCCACAAACGTATGAAAGCCATAAATGGACCAAACGTTTCCATGATATAGGCATAATCAGCGCCGGACTTTGTAATCATTGTGCCCAATTCCGCATAGCAATAAGCACCGACCTGAAATTAAAAATCGAAATATGTTTAAAATTGAAATTAAATAATAAAAATATATAAAACGTAAAAATAATAATAAAAATAAAAAAAATATTATTTTTGAAATAAACTGAAATGATGCGGGGAGGGAGAGAACAAAGCACAACTGAGGCATGTTTGGAATATTTGGTTTTTAAAAGTAAAAAATTAAATGGAAAATATTTTCATAATAAAAATATATATAATAATATTTCTCATTTTATATTTTTGTAAAACTAAAATCCTGTCTGAACTTCGATTTTTTGGCAAACATTTTAAAACCAAATTGCAAAATATTTTCTTAATCATATTTATACCCTACACCACATAGTGGTATTACGTCATTCTGCATTTGTTTGTAACATGGAGAAGGAAGGGAGGTAGACTCTTGAGAATCTTCATTTAATCATTTTTGAGTCGATTATGCATTATGAATGTCAGTACGGATGTCCGTCCATCTATATATTTTTGTGAAAAATATGTAGGTCGCATTTATTATTCGATTTAGATGAAATCTTGCGAACAATGTTTGTTTGGCCCAAAGACGAACCCTATTGAAATTGGTGATAATCAGATTTAGATATAGTTCCCTTATATCTTTAACCGATTTCGGGTAAATGACCCACCTAATGGCACATATAGCTATAGCTCCCATACAGGGTGAGATGAAAAAACTGCTCGTCCGACAGCTGTTAAAATTATTCCAGTGACAGGCCATTATATTGTTTACAATTTTTTTTCCAGAAAAAAAGTTATTCGTGATATAATTCAAGCGTGATAGTGTGATGTCTCGTACCATCGCTCGTTACCGTGATACTGATAGCGTAGCCCTACGTAAAGGAAGTGGACGGAAGAAAACAGCAACATCAGTGGTGGTGAACTGCCGAATTTAGTTTTCTCCGATGAGAAAAAATTCAGTTGTTTTGTAAACAAAACAAGTACAAAAGCAGTAAGTTCGGCCGGGCCGAACTTTGAATACCCTCCACCATTTGGAACGAATTAAAAAATTTTCAAAAAAATAAAATCCATTAAAAATTATTTTAAAATCTTTAAAATATCTAATATAGGAAGGTGCCGATATATGGGGGATATACGATATTGTGGACCTATAAAGACAAATCTATGTCTGCGTGTAAAGTACTCACAAGGAACTCCTTGTGTGGATTTTCAGATCATTCCATTGGAAAAAGTGGCTAACATCATCAAAATACCGAATATAGGGGAGTACCGTTATATGGGAGCTATACGTTATCGTTAACCTATATAGAGAATTCTCTGTCGGGGGGTAAAGTGCTCACAAAGAACCCCTTGTGTACAAAGAACCCCTTGTGACCATTCCGTTGAAAAATATGGCTAAAAACATCAAAATACAGAATATCGGGGGTACCGTTATATGGGGGCTATACGATGTCTCTGCCGAGGTATAAAGTACCCACAAGGAACTCCTTGTGTGGATTTTCAGTTATATGGGGGATATACGATATCGTGGATCTATACAGACAATTCTTTGTGAGGGAGTAAAAGGCCCATAAGGGACTCCTTTTGTGGAATTTCAGACAATTCCATTGAAAAATGTGTGGGCTATACGATATCGTCGACACATATAGCCCATCTTCGAACTTGACCTGCCTGCAGACAAAAGAGAGATCTGTGCAAAATTTTAGCTTCCTATCTTAATTCGTTTAGACTGTAGCTTGATTACAACAGACGGATGGACAGGGCTAAATCGTCTTAGAATTTTACGCTGATCAAGAATATATATACTTTGTTGGGTCTAAAATGATTATTTCGATGAGTTGCAAACGGAATGACGAACTTAATATACCCTCCATACTTTTTTTGGTGGAGGGTATAAAAACGGCCTTGGACATTCCAACACGACTCAGCACGCGCCACACAAGAATCGTTACAAAATGAGGTTCCTCCCTTCATTTCCAGCGCACAAGTCCCACTAAAATCTCCGGATACAAATCCGTTGGACTATTGTGTCTGGAGTCCTTCGGGAAGCAAGGTTGGCACTAAAAAATACCAAAGTGTCGATTACCTTAAGCAAGCGCTTCGCCGGGAATGGGTCAAAATACCGCAGAGAAACTTTCGGGCAGCGTGTGACGGTTTCATTGGCCGTTTGAAGGTCATAATTAGTGCCAAAGGTGACCAATTCGAACAAATCTAAACTTATTCTAAAATTTGATGCTATTTGCTTTCATTCATAAAAAAAGTGCAAAAATTATGGTGTTTGACCTTGTTGCAGTTTTTTTATCTAACCCCTAGATTTTATACTACAATATCATTAAACATTACTATATTCGCGATTTATTGAATTTCCGACGATTGAAAAGGAAATTCAATAAGTCGAGAATATAGTTTGTGATTGATTTAATCATTGTATTTTCTAATTGTTGCACAGTTAAGACTCAAATTATTTCATTAATTTCAACCTGAATTTAATATGAATCATATCTGTTAATTATCGTTGATCTTGTAACATTGTGTAGTCGCGTGGCAGAAAATTGTGCATTTTACACAAATCATAAAAAAATAAGTCACAGATGATTAGTTCTATTACTACATGTGACTAAGAAATAAGAATTAAACTTAAAATACAAATTAATAAATAACTTGGTCAGAAAATGTATCTAACGAATTAACCTTCAATAGGCTTTTAACATTTGCCAACAAAACTAATATGAAAAGAAACATTTGCTTAAACGTGATATTCGTTTAAAACATTCTTTAAAAGAATCTGCACTTTTTGATCAGAAGGTTTTTGAATAAATATTCATAAAACTAAGTTAATTCATTCATTCAATTTCTTGAAAATATTTTCTTAAAGATAGACGATTTTTGGCCACAAAAAATATTTTTAAAACGATGTTTTAAAAGTTTCTTGAGAAATATGCCATAATTTTTAAAAATATACATTTCTTAGTTAGGAAGTCCTTAAAAAATGCAAATTAAAATTAAATATATTAAAAAAATCTTCTCATAGCTTGAAAAACATTTTAAGATTCAAAGCAATGGGACCAAATCGTATATTTAACAAGTAAAATAGCTGTAAGCTCGGCCGGGCCGAACTTTGAATACCCTCCATCATTTGCAACGAATTTGGCAATAAAAAATAAAATCCGTTAAAAATTCTGTTAAAATTAAAAATGAATGTAGCCGTTACTTTAGGGTCTATACGACGACGTGGACTTGCATAGGCAACTTTTGTTATAAGCCATTACAATATTCAAATGCGAAACTTGAAAAAATGTAATAATGTAACTAAAATAATCAAAATACCGAATATCGGAAGGTACCGTTATATGGTGCTATACGAAGACGTGGACCTGCACAAACTTTTCTTTCTTAGGCTGTAGTATTCATTACGAACTTCAAACACCAAATTTGAAACAAATCCGGTGAATAATGTCGCTAAAATCATATACGAAGACGTGGACCTTCACAGATAATATTTTGTCTTAGGCTGTAGTATCCATTACGCACTTCAAATGCTAAATTTGAAACAATTTCGCTGAATAATGTCGCTAAAATCATCAAAACACTGAATATCGGGAGGTACCGTTTTATGGGGGCTATCCCAAAATGTGGACCTCCATGACCCATTTTCTATACCAAATATAATACACATTTTCTATGCCAAAAGTCCAGCATATAATACACATTTGAGTAAAATTTTGTTAACTTAATTCATTTCGTTCGGAGGCTAGAGTGATTTACACAGATAGACGGACAGATTGATAGACGGACAGACGGACGGACATCGTTAAATCGACATTGAATTTTATGCTGATCAAGAATATATATACTTTGTGTGGTCTAAAATGTATATTTCGAGATGTTATAAAGGGAATGACTAATATAACCTCTATACTATGGTGGAGGGTATAAAAATATCCGAATATAAAATCTACACTTTCACTTTATACATTTCCAACAGAGACTCACATTTCAAATTTCAGAATTCTACTATTACACTGTAATTTCATAACTGCACATTGTAGGTGCTACTACCTCGAATTTTAAACCATAACACCACTGTGTTTTCGAACAACCCAGTTCAAATATTTTTCTATAAGCTACTTTTAAATTTGTGTATATTAGTTGAATATGAATTGGAAATTCAGAAAAACGTATATATTTATTTATTTATAGTAAAGTAGGAACAATTAATCAAAATTTAACCAAAATTGGCTCTACTCTGAAATCCTGGTTATAACTAATCCCTTTTCTATACAGTTTTTCTTTTTAAATTCTTTAAAATTATTTTGAGATCATCACGGATATTACTTCTTTAGGATTTTGTTTTAATTTATAAGATATATATTTTTATATAAAATTAAATTTCTTCAAGGTACTCTTAAACATCCACGAGTGTAACTCCGTCAGTTTTTTAAGACGACTCGATAAAAAAACTTCGACCTTGAATTTAAATATTATACATATGATTGTAATCCTTCAAATATGTTAATTACACTTAATAAAAAAAGAAATAAACGATTTTTAAAAATACTTCATATCTCATCAAAAATCAATTTATCCCATTCCAGTCATTTAGGATGAAAAACGGAACAATCATAACTTATGATTTTTCTTTTTACGGAAATACATACGCGCAAGCAAAAAAATTGAAAAATCAATTAAAATAAAAAAAATGGAAATTCCTAACACGTTGTTATGGCCATTGTGGGCTGCAACAGACAATCGACAACTTGACTACATTGATGTCATACCAATTCGTCGTTACCGACATCGTTGTTGTCCATAAACATTGACACTTGATGTTCCTAAGTGTGCCAGAGAGTATGAACAATTTACAACAAAGTGAAGAAAAAGTATTGAAATCCAACCACCCACAAACGCCTTGACTTGAGGAATGCTCAATATTGTTTGACTCCTTAACTGGAGAGGCGGCGGTGGCGACTTCAGGGACTCTTCACAGGCGAATGATGGTAAGAGAATAGTAATGAGATATTTGCCTT